TAAAATTTTAAATTTTCAAATACTTAGTTTTTTAGGGAATATTTATTTTTTAAATAATTTTATTAATAATTAAGGGTCCCCGATTAATCTCCGATTAATCACCGCCTAGTCCGATTAATCGCTTATCGTCAGTCGACCCCCGAGCTACCGCCGAACGATTTTTACAACCTTGGATATAATTTTCATGTTTTCAAATTATAAGATAAAATTATGTTTTATTTTGTGGGATCTTAGGATCCCGATCTTACAAACCCAAAAATAATCTTACTTAGACCCAGAACTCGACAACATTGGCCGAAAATATTTATGCAAAATAAAATAGTATCTTTCTATGAATTTAAATATGGATCTAAAGTTATTTTTTTATTTCTAATTAAAATAGTAACTTATCTTTAAAAAAAAAAGCAATGATTTTTTCAATAAAAATATGAAAATATAATAGTATCATGATATTTTCCCGAACAAATATAAATGATATAAATGTTTTTCGTTTGATTTTTGTGTAAAAAGTTCTTTTGAAGAAACTAAAATTATCTGACGCTCTATATATATATATATATATATATATATATATATATATATATATATATATATATATATATAGGGGAGAGAATCAAATTAGAACACCTAAAAGGTTGAGAACGCGAGAACAGTTGTAGACCAATCATTTTATGAGGGCATGAATAGAATTTTACCATGATTTCCTAAATTTTAGTGATTATGATGACAATTACCCAAAATATCTCATTTTTTAGATTCTATTCTTTTAATGAACCAATAATTAATAAAATCATGATTTAATGTCTATCTAAGAAAACGTTTTTTTTTTCAGTTCATTTTTTAATTTTTATGTTTCATTTTTAGCAATCAAATATCAAGAGAATGAATAATTTATCGGTTTGCCTTATTTATTTTTTTTAAACAAATATCTTCATAAATAATGATTTATACATTTCATTTTCAAATGAATAAAATTGTAAATTATAAATGAATTAACTCAGCTGTATTTATGAATACACTTGTAAAATCATAAATAAATAAAACCCGAAAAAAGATTATAAAATCAACTAAAATGGTACTAATATATAAATAAATAAAACATATTTCTATTCATATAAGAATATAATTATAATAGTAAATGAATAAGTTACAATATATATATATTTTTGACACAGAAACTAGTAATACAATTACAATCATAAATGAATAAAACACATTTGCGCTCCTTCCGAAAGAGGTATTGGTATCGGTGTTTCATTTGGTAAATCTCCCACGTCCCACTATATACATGTTTATTCATTGTATCTGCAAAAATGTTAAAGAAACAATTATGTATAATTATATAGTCATTCACACATAAATACACTGATATTCACAAATAAATACACTGCTATTCATAAATAAATACAAAATAAAAATAGTGTAAAAAGAATACCCCTGATCATAAATAAATACACTTATTCATCACACATGAATACCCTGCTATTCATAAATAAATACAGTCATTCAAACATAAATTCACACATAAATATACTGATATTCACAAATGAATATAAGAAAATAGTTGTTGCCATTTCGTTTCAGCCCTCAATTCATCTATTTTCTCATTCCTTTTTATCAAGTATTACCACACCAAAAGTACCCTTTTAATGCTTAATTTGCTGGTGAAATCAAAGACCAAGAACAACTACAAGAAATTACCTTTCTAGTCATCGTTAGTTGTTGAATTTCGAGTAAATCAAGACCCAAAAAACCTCCATTGAACCCACTTTTTGCTGTTGAAATTGATGAACTGAATTCTGCTCCTTTTTTCCCTTTCTTCTTCTTCGTTACATGCCAAGAATAACCACCAGGATGGGGTTGTGTTTCTGATGAAATCAAAAGAGGCAGCAACCCCTTGGCTTTTCCCTTAACCTGCATTGTTGTGGCTGCTTGCCTTGCTCCTCTCGGACCAGCCTCATGGAGTATTCATTGATGATTAACTGCAAATGAGATATCTGACATTTTATTCATATAAGATTACAACTGAATATTTATCGATAGATTCACATAGCCTGCACAAACAGATTCCATGTATAGATTCGAATAGTATATAGCATTGTAAGTCTCAAATCAAGAGAAGAGGTGGATTTCGAACAACATTTGCAAGGAAAAAAACATAATGTTACCTGATTCAGAGTACTTCGTCGCTACCCTGCTGCTTCGGAGTGGAGGATCGAAGTCTGGTAGTGTACCGCTGCTTGCTACCGCCGATGAGTAGCGGTCGAGTTCACCAGATTGCCAACAAGGTTAAGAAAAAGAGTCGTCGGCTGTAAGTCTCACTCTGTATGCGACGATGACGATGAAGAACGAAATTCATCGTTGGGGTATGCCACTGTTCGCTGCCTTGCGCTGGTGAGTAGATGATGCCGTCCGCCGGTGAGTAGAAGTCGTCCAGCCGATGGGATCTTCGGCGATGGAAGCGATGATGCGTATAAAGGGGAAATGGGGAGTGAATGTCAATTGTTCAGTCGATGCGTCTTATGAAACCCTAGAGAGAGATATAGAGAGGATATAGATACGAGAATTAGAAAGGTAAGAGGTGAGAGAGAGGTGAGAGGGTGAGAAATTATAAGAAATAGGTAAGTTGCAATTCCTATAATACCCTTCTGACCATTTAAAAGTTACACTTAAATGCCAGTAGTTTTAGAGTTTTTCATAAATCGCCCGTTTAATATTAACCATAGATCTTAGTATTTAGATGGTCCAGATTTGTTCTCGCGTTCTCAACCTTTTAGGCGTTCTCATTTGATCTACTCGATATATATATATATATATATAATATATATATATATATATAATATATATATATATATATATATATATATATATATATATATATATATATATATGTGTGTATGAATTCATTAGATTTTAATAAATTCATTATTCAAATTAACAAATTGAAAGAGTTTACAAATACAACTATTTTATTACTTAAAATAGATTTTTTTTTGTGAATGATTAACATACACGTCTTGTGTTTGTGATACTTTTATAAAATTAGAATAAGATATAATAAACTTACTAACATATTCCGGCACCCCTCAATATAAAACAGTCAATTGAAGTCGATAAATTAAATCAAATAACGTATAGATTGCCCTATCTATTTCTATTGAAAGAAAGTTTATTGTTTATAGAAAGGGATATATACACTAAAGTCCCAATATTTTCATTGATTTGACAAAAAAAGTCCTAAACTTTATTTTTTTGACAGTGAAGTCCAAATTACCGGCAGTTTTTGACACTTTTACACTTTTTTTCCGGTTAGCCGGTAATTAGGACTTTTTTGTGACAAAAAAAAAATTTAGGACTTTCTTGTCAAATTGTTAATTAGGACTTTACTGTCAAAAAAATAAAGTTTAGGACTTTTTGTCAAATCGTTGAAAATATTGGGACTTTAGTTTATATATATCCATTTTTTTTGTTAGAAATTTAATGGTATGATACTCTTTAAACATAAGAGTTATTGAAATCTTCTCTAGTCAGGTAGATCCTATTGAAATCATTAATGTTTGCTTCTTGTTAAATCGTTTTTTAATCTCAACAAACCGATTTTGAAAAAAAAAGGAGATAATCAAGAAAGAAAGAAAGAAAGAACAACGGTTGTGTTGGCTTTTTGCAGTCCCAAAAATGGAGAAATAAGAAACCGAAAAAAAAACGAAATTGCCTTTCTTTCCCTTCTCCACATTCACACCTTTTTGACTAGGCATGTGTTGTTTATGTTTGTATAATTTGTCCCCACTTTATAGTTCAAGATTTGACGGCGAAGCAAGAATAAAGTTTTACAAGTCTTTTCACCCTTTCTCGCTCTCTCTTTTGCATATGTTTCTCCTGATCGTGATTGTGTCAGTGTAAAAATGATGATGGTAAGAAAAACAGTGGTGCTGCAACAAAAGTCACAATTAAAAGTTTTTGGGTTACGAAAATACACTAAAGTCCCAATATTTTCAACGATTTGACAAGAATGTCCTAAACTTTATTTTTTTTACAGTAAAGTCCTAATTGACGATTTGACAAGAAAGTCCTAAACTTTATTTTTTTGACAAAAAAGTCCTAATTACCGACTAACCGGAAAAAAATGGTAAAAGTGTCAAAAACTGCCGGTAATTTGGACTTTACTGTCAAAAAAATAAAGTTTAGGACTTTTTTGTCAAATCGATGAAAATATTGGGACTTTAGTGTATATATCCCTTATAGAAACGTAGGAAAGTATTATTATACGGAGCATGTCGACAATTGGAACCGGGTCAACCCGCTGAGATATATATATGAAGTCGGTCTACCAAGTACCAACCACACGAATCCCGTATATCAGGCTGTTGCATACCCAATGACGAAGCCTTTCCAATTTCTCCAACTCGATGCTTCATTTCTTCATCGACTTTAAGATCATCATTGATCATGGCTTCAGGTACACTTATAATCTAAGATTTTCAAATAATTGCACCGAAACCAGGATTTTTATGACACGACACATAAATATCTTTCGTTTGAAAATTGAAATCGTGGGTTACCCTGTTTAATTGAAGACGCATCCTGACATTTGAAATTGGTGTGTTATGATTGTTATTAAGAGATATTAATCAAATTGCAGATTTTGCTAAGAATATTGTCGCTGAACTCGAATCTGCGTCGCAGTTAAGGGCGGCAGGGTTCTTTCATAACACGAAGACCATGGCTTGGTAAACCTTAAACCTTAGTCCCATCGTTCCATGTCATTATAATGTTATGATTGCTTATTCCTAGTCGTTTTTGCTTTTTCTCGACAATTTTCCGTTTCGTTAGTTAGCATAAAAATTGTGGACCTTACGTTTCAATTTAGGTTTTCTAACTTCAAGGCGGAAACAAAATCAATCAATGTCAATTAAGTTTCCATATGTAGGCGGTTTTGTCTAAAAGATAATTCAAGTGAAGAAAAAAAACCCTAGTTTTTCACACTTGTTTTTTACATGTGAATGACTACAGATCTATATGGGGTTAATGTAAGACCAGTTGCTCCTTTTGGTAGCACATGTAATAAACCAGTGGTTGATTTGTCACTCATCCATAGAAGCTTGCCAGATGAACTACTGTTTGAGGTATGTAAATGTTAACCATTTAGTAATATCTTGTTTGGACAACATAGTAGTACATGAATAATAAACCATGATTATTTAATCGTAAAACAATTTTATGTAGATTTTTGCAAGAATGACTCCATATAATTTGGGAAAAGCAGCCTGTGTTTGTCGAAAATGGAGAAATACCGTTCGTAACCCTGTGTTTTGGCGCAATGCATGCTTAAAAGCCTGGCAGGTATTTTTGTTATTCTACATTTTTAAATTTTCATTTGAGATAATAATACTCTAAAATATGTGTATGTGTATCAAATTCTTTCAAGATCTCTGGTGTTGTGGAAAACTATAAGCTTATGCAATGCAATTATGATTCCTCATGGAGGAAGATGTGGCTTTCAAGGCCAAGAGTCCGCATGGATGGTAAATTGTGAATGTTTGTTGGTTGATTCAGCACTACTATCATATCATATAACATTATATTTGCATACTAATAAATAAGATTGTAAACTTATTTATTTTGATTTTTGATTTTTGACTTTTGATGCAGGTATCTATGTGAGTAGGAACACGTATATTCGTGCTGGAGTTGCAGAGTGGAAAGTCACAAATCCAGTTCATGTGGTATGTTTGCTACTTAAATCAAGCACAATTAGCATGGAAATATATTATAAAATGTTATGTTTTTTGTTATTTTTTTATTTGTAGGTATGCTATTATCGATACCTCAGATTTTATCCTTCTGGAAGGTTTTTGTACAAGGTTAGCCAGTTTTCTTATAAAAATATTATTTTAGGTAGTGTATGTATTTGACCATGTTATTCTGTTATGAAATGATTAGAATTCTTCTGAGAAAATAAAGGATGTTGTGAAATTCATGAAATTGCGTTCTACTAAAGCTGAGATTTGTCATAGTGGGCGCTACACAATGTCTGAAGATAAGGTTTTACTTCACAATATATTTTTTTTTTTTTTCATCATTTGTTGTTGCATATAAATATAATATGAATGGAATGTGTGTGTTTTGCAGGTGGAAGGGGCTCTTTTGTATCCTGGAATGCGTCCCACGATTTGGAGGATCCGATTGAGGTATGGTAGCTGAAGGGTATAATTGGAATATGAGAAAGATAGATTTAAATTTTAAGGTGTTTTTTGTTTGGAAAGGTTACGAGGTACAATAGCAGGGGCAAACAATCGGATGGATCTTCTATCAATTGTGACAAGTGGGGTCCACGAGAATGAGGTTCCAACGGGACCCGATGGAGACATTCTTGCAGTGGTTGAAGGCTGGGAAGATGATGAAACACACAATGCAGATGTTCCTGCTATTTCTCATACAAGAGGCCTAACACCTTTTGTCTTTGTTCCATTTGAAGAGGTATATATATTTTAATATATCACCTCAAATTTGTTTTTTTTATATGTTTATGTTGCTTGTTATTTTTATTATTTATTTTTTTTATAGGCGGAAACATCGGTTTTAAATCTGCCTGTGGAACGCATGGATTATTATGTACCTGGTTGAATGGTATTGGAATTGGGAAATGAAGACAAAAACGACCCATATTTGTAAATAAAATTGTTCATCTGTTGTTATATTTGTTGAAAGTTGTATGTTATAGGTTGTATAATAATAATAATGTTAGTTGTCAGTTGAAGGGTTTTGTTAATATTTTTTAGAATAAGACGATGCTGCTAGACAAAACAAAACAAAAAAAAAAAAAAAAAAAAAAAAAAAAAAAAAAAAACGTATGTATTTTAAGTTGTGCCCCTTTTATTGTGGTTGTGACTTGTGCGAGATGATTTGTTTTTAATCAACTCTTTAATAATTCTTTATTCACAAACATCTTTTATAATTACTTTTAAGTAAAAAGAAGGGTAAATTACACCATTCGTCCCTCGTGTACATGCCAGAAAGCGTGTTTAGTCTTTATTTTCAAAAATTAACTCGGACCGTTCCTCATTCGTTTAAAACTTGCACATTTCGTCCCTCTAGACATAAAAATACCATTTTGCCCTTATTTATTTCTTTTTTAATTTTCTTCTTATTTGTTTATTATTTTTAGATTAAAAAAAAAAAACAATAAATAAACATACATGAACCACCCCTCACCGCTTCCCCCTCCTACGTATTCCTCTACCTTTGTCCCCCATTCTCGGCCACTCCCAACGCCGACGAAGCCCCATCAGCCCCACCTTCACCTTCACCCAAATGTGATAAACCAAAATCGGACCAGTCGATCTTCATCCTCCTCCAATCGCCTCTGTCAAACCCTAGAACTCAAGAAGGAACTGTACATGGAATCATCAACAGCACCACCATCGCCGGTGGAATCATCAACAACACCACAATCACCACCACCATCTCATATCTCCACTTAACCCTAAGTTGCCTCTCGTTTTAATTGTTCTCAATTTGCAGCAAATTAGAAGATCGAAAAGAGAGAAGTAAGTTGCGATTTATCCTTTCCCCAATTTCCTTTCTACTTCTTAGAATTTAATCGGTCATCTCTCTCACTCTGTCTCATAGACTGCCAACACCTCCTGCAATCACCACCGGTCATTACTCAAACCTCAAAAAATGAAACCTGAACCTGCAAATGAAACCAAACTAAACCCTAAACTTATAAATCGAAGATGATGGAGATTCAGATATGAGAAGCGGGTTCTGATCGAACCAAAAAAATCTAAACACAATTGGTGCAAATCAGAATTTTCATTCTTATCATACCTTGTTCGAATGGTGAAGGTTGTACGAAGGTGGTTCCGACTGTGGCGGGTTTTCCAATTTTGAAGGTATGGTTTAAATTGGGTGTTGGTTGCGGTTTGTGATGATGAACAGGGGTGCAACAAGGGTGTCCGATGGTGATGTAACCCGAAAAAGGAGGAGGTAGGAAGTTGGTGATGGGTTTTAAGGTGTTATAAGGTATATGTTTGACGAAGAAGGGTTGAATTGGGAAGTTGGCGATGGATGTATGGTGTTTGAGAGACGCAGGTGGTGTTCATCCGATGATTTGTTGGGGTGGGGGCATGAAATGGGGCCATATTGTTTTTTCTTTTATTTTTAAATTAAAAAATAATAATTATAACATTAAATAAAATGGAAAAGAAATATAAAAGGGCATAATAGTCATTTTAGTTCTCGCAAGGGATGTAGCTAGCAAATTAAAACTAATGAGGGATGTAGCGTGCAACTATTAACCAAATGAGGGACGGTCCGAGTTAATTTTTGAAAATAGGGACTAAACACGCTTTCTGGCATGTGCACGAGGGACGAATGGTGTAATTTACCCTAAAAAGAATTAGTTTTTGTGAGTTGAGGCCCGAGGGTGAAAAAGCAGCACTTGGTGAAGTCGCACGAGAGAGAAGACAATGGGAGGTGAATTCTACAGTATGTAGACTATATTGCGTAGAAGAGGTAGAGGTGGACCAAACGTCTGCAGTATGTAACAAGTAGACTGTTTGTTTTTTAAAGTCTATAAACTATAAGAATGTATGGGATTTTATTTTGAAATTAAAAGACTTTTACTCAAAAGGATTTATGAAATGAGATTTTAAAAAAGTGTTTAGATTAGTTTTTTAGTAGCAAAAGTCAATAAGTTAATAAGTTGAAAAGTGTTTGGCTAACTTATTTAACATTTGTTTGTTTTTTATTCTAATAAGTCATAAGTCATTCCAAGAAGTCACAAACTGTAACTTCTTCAAAATTTATTTTCAAAGACTAAACCAAAAGTTGTTTTAAAAGTTCCTTATTAGGTAATCAAACATTTTTTTAATTTACTGTAGAAGTCAATAAGTTAAAAAAGAGTTTTTAGATGAAATCCTAAACATCTATATAAAATTTTAATTTTTCCAAAAGATAAAAGTCTATTTCATTAATTATAGTTTTACAATACTTAAAAATTAAATTCAGACAACCACAATTCTATACAATCGTAACATTGTATCTCCAAAAATTTTCTTATTAAAACATTATTGCTATTGTTGGGTTGTATTAAAAATAAACCAAGCATGTGTACAGTAAAACCATTGATTTAAGGGAAAATGACTTATCAAGGTAATTAACTTTCCGGTATGTTCACATCTGGGTAACTATCTTTTTTTTGTACACATCTAGGTAACAAACTTGTTGGAAGTGTTCACATATGACCATTATGACCTGTTGTAGCAGGTTACATCCTAGATGTGAACACTTTTGACAAGTTCGTTACCTAGATGTGTACAAAAAATAGTTATCCAAATATGAAAAAAAACGAAAAGTAAGAGTAAATTACAAGAATGGTCCCTGTGGTTTGGAGGAATTTGTGTTTTTGGTCCCTAACTTATTTTTTTAACTCGGATGGTCCCTACTATTTATTTTTGTTGCGCGTTTGGTCTCTGTCGTACCTAAAAAGACTATTGTGCCCTTATTAATTTATTTTTTAATTAATTTTCTTATTTATGTATTTATTTTTTATATATTAAAAAAAATTAATAGACCCCACATATATGTATCTCCTCGGATGATTACTACTGTTTATTTTTTAATTAATTTATTTTTTTAACTCGGATAATCCCTACTGTTTATTTTTGTTATGAGTTTGGTCTCTGTCTTACCTAAAAAGACTATTGTGCCCTTTATTAATTAAAATTTTTAATTAATTTTCTTATATATGTATTTATTCTTTATATATTTAAAAAAATTAATAGACCCTACATATATGTATCTCCTCACCATCACATTTCTCATCCTCCTCAACTTCTATTTATTTTCCATCTTTGGTGATATCGACGTCTTCATCATCCCTTATTTTTTCGGTCCTTCAAATCCGTCGAATTAACACCACAACCTAGTGAACCCACTAAAGATGAAGAGACAGTGGGTTATGGTGTTGGTTCGCTAGAGTTGAATGACCAAAAAAAGAAGCATGGTGAAAACGTCGATGTCACTAAAGATGGAAAAGAAATAGAAGTTGAGGAGGATGAGAGACAGGATGGTGACCGGTGAGACCCAAATTAAATTTCTAAAATGTGGTTTCAGATTTACGGTGAGGAGATACAGATATGTGGGGTCTATTAATTTTTTAAAATATATAAAAAATAAATACATAAATAAGAAAATTAATTAAAAGATAAATTAATAAGGGCACAATAGTCTTTTTAGGTAAGACAGGGACCAAACGTGCAACAAAAATAAACATTAGGGACCATCCGAGTTAAAAATATAAGTTAGGGACCAAAAACACAAACTCCCTCAAACCACAGGGACCATTCGTGTAATTTACTCTTACTTTTCGTTTTGTTCATATTTGGGTAACTACTTTTTTTGTACACATCTAGGTAACGAACTTGTCAAAAGTGTTCACATCTAGGATGTAACCTGCTACAGCAGGTCATAATGGTCATATGTGAACACTTCCAACAAGTTTGTTACCTAGATGTGTACAAACAAAAGATAGTTATCCAGATGTAAACATACCGAAAAGTTAATTACATTGATAAGTCATTTTCCCTTGATTTAACTAGAACTTTTTTACACATACTTGGAGAAAGAATTACATCAATTATGGTGAATGTTTTTGTCAAATGAATATTACAACAAACAATTGAACCAGTTGAAGAGGGCTATAATCATTTTCGAGGAAGAGCAGAAGGGACAATCATTACATAAGATCCAAAGCTACAATGAGAAAATTAGCATACAAACCACAAGAATCCTACAAGCTACACAAAGCATTATAATTACTAGTGTTCATTGGTTCCATTTCAAAAAGATGATAAGCTGCCATTTCACAATCTCAGTATTTACATAAATTATAACCAATTATAATATACCATTTTCAAGCATATAGAATCACATCAGAAAAAAAAAATTACATCCCATTTACACAAACTAGCACCTTAGTATTTTGTGAAATATGAAGTCCAAACTTACCTCCATCCCAAGGAGTGCCATCCGGTGTGCAAAGAAAATAGAAGTCATCAAGGAATTATCATTTGTTTTCAAGAAAAAAAAATATCATATGATGTTAAAGAGAGAGAGAGAGAGAGAGAGAGAGAGAGATGAATTTACACTCCCACATACCCAAAAATGACAACATTACATAGTATTATAGTGTTATCTATATGTACGTCACTGATATCAAATGGAGGATCTGCTGCAACCTCTTATAGTCCCATTATTAGCCTCTTCCTTGCAGGTGTAGACATTCTCCTCCTCTGTTACAATTGAATTCAATGAACAGGAAAAAGTAAGAACATTCCAGTGTCTTCTACATGTTAATCATCTACTTAACTGAAGCCATGAGTATGTGGATGTGTGTTTCACTGTTCATAAAGTGATTCTTGTGAGTTATTGTGAATAATTAGTTTCAAACTATATAATCAGAAAGTTAGAGTCTTATCTCGAAATCACTCTTTCACAAACAATTAAAATGCAGTAATCATTTTATAAGAACATCCAACCCCTAGAAACCACGTTGGCGAAGCTGTTCGGAGGTGGGATTCGTTGGAGGAGATTACAAAAGTGCAAACCTATTTTCGTTTTCAGGGGAAAAATTGGCACTACTTTGGAGTGCGTCTGGTGGTGTGATCGAACCGGAGAAAGATGGTGGTTTTTGTATGGGTGACAGTAGCACGAGAAGGAGATGGGAGGTTGAAGAAAACCAGAGGAGGTGTCGATGGATGTCGGAGGCCCTGAAAGAAA